TATGCCTCCTCTTAGCAAGTGTACGTGTGTCCCCTTATGGGAGTATTTAATTGTCTTCTTTCATCTTAGGCCACATATGTTTATGTTTGGATGCCAAGCTTCTTGGAGGCAGGGAGTATGTCTTCAACTTCCGGGAGGTAGCAGAGCAGGGGTTAAAATTACAGGCTCTGGCACACAGAGAATTGGGATAAAAACTGTGCTGTGTGACCTTGGGCAAGTTACTTAGGCTCTCTGAGCCTTCACTTTTTCAACTATGATAATGATGTGAGGACTAGATAAGATGACTCTGTCCCGAGTTTAACCCTACGCCAGGCACAAGGTTATGTACTCCTTCCGTAAGTGGGAAATACTATCATTCCAACCGTACTGAGAGCCTACTCTGTGTGCCTGCACAGTATGACAGACCCAGGCACCCTTTCAAACTTAATTCTGACAGAGGATTAGGGATCTCGGGCACCTAATTAAAAGCAAATTGGCAGAGTAGGTCACCCAAATCCATACACATGTACAAACCACTCTTCCTGGGCTGGGCTCCGCCTCTCTCTCTATGGGAAACCAGCCTCCAAAGGCCTCTCCTTTTCAGGTGAAGCCTGGCACTTCTGAGAAGTCGTTCATTTTGAGACTTACAGAATCACCAACAGGCCCCTGCTCCTCTGGCCTATTTCGTCTGCGTTTGAGCTGATATGCGGGGAGACTGCCATATGGCTTTTCTCAGGGCTGACAGGAATGACTCATCATAGGTCACCAATGCCCTTGAGCTGCCTGGAGCAGAGTGGCTCACTGGCTCTGCCCCTGGGCCTGGCTGCACAGCTGCCTGACCTCCACGCCTCCCAGGGGGAGTGTCCTCAGACCCTGAGACTCTTGAGTCAGAAGAGGGGGCTTCCCCATTCCTAGATCACTCTGTGTTGGAAGGCACCCAAGAAATCATTTATTCCAAACCCCTCATCTCCCGGGTAAAAGGAGCCCAGAGGTGGAAGCAGGCTTGCTCATTCCTCTAGCTTGTGGCAGAACCAGGATTTGAACCTGGGCCCAGAGTGCCTTCTGCGGTATCCCCCTGGCTACCACAAATCCCCACCTCTTGGCCTTCTCCTTCCCCACCGGGCACACACTGCCACGGGCTCCAGGTCCGACACGCTCTGAGGAGTGGATTCCATGGCTTTCTGGTAGGACGGTTACTTACCCTTTTGGGAGAACAGGCCTCTAATCCTGTTTCCAGGAAAGGGCAGAATGATCTGTTGGAGGTTATGGTCCCCACTGACCATAATGTCAATAAACAATGTAAAAATTTGTTTACTTCTCTGTTAAAAGAGGCATTCTTTTCCTATCTAACTCAAATTTTGTAAAGAAACAAAAATATGGGCCAAAAAAGATGAAGGGATAAATAATTGTCTGGCCGAACAATGGAGCAATCCACGACTTCAGGGGATGGGATCCACACTGGCCCTGGGAGAGGGGACTTGGCAGGACAGCCTGGCTGACAGGGAAATCTGAGCTGGGACAAGAGGAAAGGGAGAGGCAGAGGCAGGGAAGTGACTGCGCTGGGGCAGGCCCAGGAGTGGGGCGAACTGGGAAACGCGTGGAGTGGGTCTGCGGAGTTCCCTAACCCCCTTGCATCATCCCACCCCAGTCACCAAGACCAGGTGCTCTTGTTGGACAGAACCCCCCATGGAGCTCCAGAATGGAACTGAGGATCCCCCCCAGCACCCCCCCTCTCCCCCCCAGCACCCCCTTCCCCCCCAGCTTCACTTCAACCAAAATGCCCCATCTGGTGTTCAGGTGTCACTGGTTGGAAGGATTTTGACGGGTTGCCCTTTCCAGCGGTGCATTCATTTGAAACAGGGACTCTGAGTCTCTGGGTCAGCCTCCAAGGAGGGTCAAGTAGGGTAGGATGGAATAAGATAAGCTACTGAGAGACAAAGGGTCATTGAAAGACAGATCTCAGGCTGGGGAAAAAAAAAAAGAGAAGAGCTTGGAGTTCTGTCTTGTTTTTTGGGGAGGAACAGAGTCATTTCAGTCTCTCCATAGAGAGGGGATTTTCCTTCTGTTTTATAGACATGGAAACTGAAGCCCAAAGTGCCAAGCCCAGGGGCAGAGCTGGGCCCAGAAGCCAGGAGTCCCAGCCCACCAGCCCCTGCTCTGAGGAGCCAGAAGAAAGGGGCCAGGAGCTAGGGTGAGGGCCCGCGGGTTCGACGGGGAAGGGAGGCCGCCAGCCCACCCCGTGCAAGCTCTGGCAGAGCCGCCCTGCAGGCTGCGGCAGGTGGACCGCGGGCAGCGCTGGGAGGGGCTGGGGCCAGGACCAGGGGAAGCGGCGGGCGAGAGAAAGGATTTCGAGTCTCGCGAAATAGGAATGACTCACGCTGGGTGGCTCCGCAGGCCGGCCCTGCCCACATTCCGGGCCTTTGTTCCCGACCCGCCTGGCCTGGCCTTAAAGGGCCAGCTCCTTGAGGCGGGAGGAGGGCCGCCCTACCTCCACCCTCCTCTTTTATCCTGACCCTCGTTGGATTGCTCCTAGTTTCCGGGCTGTGGGTAAAAAGGGTGGCATCCTGCAGGATTTAGGGGTTCATCCAATCGAATCCTCAAGCTATAAGGGAGGGCTCTGAGGTCGTTTCATCCATCCCTCTGCCTCAGGACGGGGCTGCACCTAAACTGGCTCAGAGGATTAAGAAGCCCCTTTCCCTGCTTTTTAAAGATGCAACCATGAGGTGACCCCTCTCAAAGCAACTTCTCCCAAGGTCAAAACCATTTGCCTTCTAAGCACAATCCCCCAAGCCGCCGCTGGTGCCGGAGGCCCCTCCCCGCTGTTCCCCCTCTACGTTATCCCCCCGCCCCCGGGGCCCGGTTCAGGATTGGTTCAGTCTTGCTCTCGTTTGACACACGTGTGTGGTGGGCTTTAGGCTGGCCTATCCAGGCTCTTGAAGCAGGCTCCCTGTCCCGGGCCCCCGAGGGGTCCAGGGTGCACACCAGTTCCGTCCTGTCAGTGCATTTCTGAGGGCAGACACACCCTCCTGCCGCAGCGCAGCCAGGGCTCCCAAGTCACTTCTTGGGACCTCATGCGCCACCACGTGGACACTCTGGAGATGTGGTGCCTTCTGGAGCTTGGAGGGGGCACCCTGCTGAGCTCCCCCCACCACCATAGCGGACCCTGAAGAAGCATCCTCAGTTATGAAGCAGTCCTGAACTGGCACCAATCATAATAAAAGCAGGCCCTAAATTAGAGAGGGGATGAGATCCGCACCCTCCTACTCACTGCAAACCCCACATCCTCCGTGAAACGGTGGCTCTAAGATGGATCTAACAAAAGCCTGTCAACGCTATTAAAACTCGCAGTTAGCGATATTTTTTGTGGAGGCTTGGGAAGCTCTCTGTGCCCCAAGTACCCACCCCTTCTACCCCCAGCCCCTCACACACTATTTGGTGGATGCTGAAAACACTCCACCAGAGGTTTGGATTTAAAGTTTTATCAGGTTAATAGGCAAATTTTCAGAGAAGGGGGTCTCCCTTGAGGCTTTCCTAGTAATTTCACAGTTTATCAGATCTTGAACTGAGAGTCGGCTTTGGAAGGAGGAGGAAGTGCAAAGCTTGTAGTTACTCCTCGAAAGACAGGGTAGGGGGAGGAGTCGGGGAGGATGGGGAAAGGAAGGCCCAGCTCACAGCCACGCCCAGCAGAAGGGCGCTGAATTGTGGAGAGGGCTAGCACCTGCTCCACACACTCTCACCGAATGAGTGTCCTTTGGATCTAGGACAAACCTCCACCAAGTGGGCTATGACCACAGGTTATGGCCTTGGGGTCGTCAGTGACTGTGTGGCCTTTGTGGGATATTAGATATTGGCCTTGGCACCCCTGGCCCTAACCAACCAGGCCAGCTGGCCCCAGACAAGCCAACACCCAGAACGAGCACCCAGAACCCACTGAGAGCCACCCACCCACCCACCGGCTCGACAAATAGCCGCTTGTGCTGATCTGCCCATTAGCTTCCCCACCTCCAAGCTCTAACATCTTTCAGAGTCCTCCTTTCTCACCACCACTCTGCTTCAGTTCCTTGTTCGTCTGAGCCTAGATCCAGACCATAACCTCTCAAGGGGTCTCCCTGCTTCTGGGCCCTCCTGAACCAGTCCATCCCAAGCACCACTCCTAAATTAATCTCCCTCAAACAACCCGAGTTCTCTTGAGTGACTGCAGATTGCCTGCAGCATCCAGTCTGAATTTCTTGGCCCAACCCAGAGGCCCTCACCATATGTCCCACACTGTGACTCCATCTTTTGCAGTTAGCCACTCCTGGAGAATAAGGGCTTTGTTTTACATTTCAAAATCAAATCAAATGTAAATTATATATCAATAAATCCTAGCTAAAAAAATAATAAAAAACAAATGAAGTAAAGAGCTTTTAACTAGTATGCAGCGCTGTGTGCATACCTCCATGCCTACAGACACGTGTTCTCAGGCCGGGGTTGACAGTCAGCGGGCGGTGCCTGAGCAGGGGCTTGGCCGAGGGGCTGAGTGGCATCCAGTCGCAGCTCACGGTCCATTTGCTAGGCTGTGCACCCTACCTTGGGGCCCTGTGACTCTGGGAGAAGAAGTGCCTTTTTCTATTCCACCCAAGCCTCAGAGCTCCTCCTATTGTCTTCTGAGAGGCTTTCCTCTCAGAGGAAGGGAGAGTGGCCCCAGGCCAGGCTGGGCCCAGGTAAAATGACATGAGGAAGGCACATTTTTCAAGCAGCTTGGAATCCTCCCCGCTTTCTTCAGATGGATGTGTGAAGGTGGGAGGGCAGGGCAGCCTACAGGAACACACATTACAACAGAACATCACTTCAGAGTTCGAAGTCCCTTAACAGTTTTCTAGTCCAACTCTTTATACTTTCAGGCCATAAAACTGAAGGGTGTTCCTTGCCCTCGGCTTTCACCTGGTTAGGGAAGAGCTTTAAAACCTCTCTCCTCTTTCCAGTCTCAACTGTTTCCCCTCTGAAGCCTCCCAGGTAAGCCTGAGCTTTCTCCCTTACAGCCTGGGAGCCCCGACTCCAGGAGCCAGCCCGTCAACCTGAACCATTATGCCACCAAGAAGAGCGTGGCAGAGAGCATGCTGGACGCGGCTCTGTTCATGACCAACGCCACGCGGCTGAAAGCGGTGCTGGAGCAGGGGCCCTCCTCTAATTACTACAGCACCCTCGTCACTCTCATCAGCATCTCTCTGCTCCTGCAAGTGGTCATCGGAATCCTCCTCGTGGTCATTGGTGAGGAAACCAGGCCTGGAATTGGCCTCAGTTGCCCCCTAGTGGGAAGAAAAGCCCGAGTACCTCCGTGTACTACCCTGCATTTGCACCCGCCAACATCTCAACCATACGCTGACTGACCTGCGTCAGCCCCCTGCACCCACGAGTGTCCAGTAACAACTCCCACACAGTCCTACCTCCTTGTATCCCACAGAGCGGCCTCTCCCCAGCACCTCACTAACCTGCAGCAGAGTTCCGTAGAGCCTTTTGTGTGAGCCGCATCCCACTCTTAGAACAGTCAGTATAAGTTCCCCAGTCCCAGTTCTAGCAAGCATCACGTGGATGACCCAGGCACCGGTCAGCGAGGGACACGGCCTCTCAGCACAGCGACTCTACGTGGATCCCTGAGCTAGGCTTCCTCTAAACTCTAGTGGCTGTTGGGAGGGCAGCTCCAGGCTGTGGCCCCTGCCCTGACTCTTAGCTTTGTTGGGGAGGTGGGAGAATTCCCCCCCCCCCCCGCCCGCCCACTTTCCTTAAGGTTCTTACGGCTGGTCAAATAGTCAAAGAGGCAGGTTAGCAGGAGAAAATCAAACCAAGTTTAAAAGCATGTATACATGGGAGAAACCCAGGAGAAACTGAGTAACTCGGCCATCTGGCCCAGGCTGCCTGTTTAAATATCTTCAGCTACAGACAAGGAGGACGTTGTCTGGGGGGATAGTGATTTGGGGCTTCAAAGGGAAGGAAGACAGTTTACATAGAGATGGAATGCAAGTTTTGTTAAACAGGTCTTTCTGGGCCCCAAAAATGGGTTTGTTGGTGTCCTTTTATCACACCTATTTTACGTCATACTCTAGCTATCATGGTATGAGCTCCTTCCTGGAACGGGCCTTCTATGTTAAATTCTTTTAGGCAGTTTGGGAGGGGGAAGGTCGGATGCTCTTCCTGAGTCTTCCGAGCCTTTATTTTCTTCAGCTCGAAATAATTCGCATACCAGAGTGGCGCATCTTGGGGCAGCCTGCCCTGAACCCCGTCACCTCCCACTCCCCACTTCTCCACAGCACGGCTGAATCTCAATGAGGTAGAAAAGCAATGGCGACTAAACCAGCTCAACAATGCTGCCACCACCTTGATCTTCATCACTGTTGTCATCAACGTCTTCATTACAGCCTTCGGGGCACATAAGACAGGGTTCCTGGCTTCCAGGACCTCAAGGAATCCTCTGTGAACACAGCCTGGGACCCAGGTGAGGGAGGATGGGAGATCCCCAGGTCCAAGGGCTCCCAGGTGCCTCTTCTCCCACCTCTAGGGGCTTGGGGAAAGAGAGATCCTTGCCAAGCAAAAATGGAAGGAGGGGATCTTGGGGAAGAGCTTGGAGTGGGACTCAGAAAGGCCTTCTCGTTTTGTTAATGAGTGACTCTTCCTCAGTTCTCAGGCTCGGGTTTCTCTATTGCCTGGGATGGGTGACAGGCAATGTGGTTAATGGTTCGCTCTGCCCCACCAGCAAGAGGAAAGACGGAGATGTGGGATTTCTCCTTGGCGTTGTCCAGCAGTCCTTGCCACTCAAATTGTGGTCCAAGGACCAGCAGCAACAAAGCTACCTGGACGCTTGCTGGACCTGTAGACTCTCAGGCACCACTCCAGGCCTACTGAATCAGCACCTGCATTTTAGTAAGGTTGCCAGGGGCATCGTGCGCCCATGAAAGTCTGAGGAGTGCTCGCCTGACCTGCCCTCTTCACTGCCTCTTCTCTGCTTCCCCTACAGGTACCAGGTCTGGAAGTGCCTCTGCCTCTTTCCTCCCTGATCTTCCAGGCTGCTGGGCACTCTCCACAGCCCCTGCGAGAGCTCCTACAAGGGCAGTGTAGATGCCCTTACTCCCTACCCACAGCACCTGAATTAAGATGTGCTATTTTACCAGTCTAAGTGAGTTCCATCTTGGTCTGGAGCCCTGAGCTCAGACTTGGGTACCAGCCACCTTTCCTCCCGGTAGCATCTCCTGACCTGACGCATGTCTACCTAAGGCTGAATCCACAGTTTATGGACTCTAACTCCACTCCATTCCTCCCATCTGCCCCAGCCATTCCCTCTGCTCCAGGCCTCAGTTTTCCCTTTCTGTAAAATGGAATGATGTCTATCTATAAAAGTTTCTGCAAATCCCCTGTGAGTCAATCTTTATGCACCCAGGCTGGTCTCTGGATGCCCTCTCCGTCTGCATCACGGAATGGGCTCAAAGGAGCAAACCCCAAAACTGGAGGGAGAAAAGGCTTTTAAATCTCTCCCCCTCCTCTGGGTCCTGTTCCGAGTCGCCTTTCCTGGCCCCATATGCCTTGGGCTAATTACCACCTGTGACATCGACGGCAGATTCGTTGATTCTGGATTGATGCACATATGCACAGTCCTTAGAGAGCCACGATAAACCTGTTCCAGCTTTCATATCAGCACCTTCTCTCGGGCATGCGTTTAAGGAATAGACAGTAATTTTGAGCTCTGCTGGGCCAAGTATAACTAGGAAGGTAGATCTGCACCTGTAAAGCATCAACAGGGCATTCCCCACCTCAAACAGAAATGATCTTTAGATGGTCTTTATTTTAGAATAAGCCACATCCCAGCTTCTCTGTGCTATTCACCAAACCATTCTGGCCCTGTACCTAGCCTTCCTCACCCAGGTGTCCACCAGCCTTTCTCAGCTAAAACCACCAATCTCCAGTAATTTGCAGAACGCAGAACACCTGGTCTGCTCTGACTGTGAGCGCGTTAGACAGGAGCAATGCTGTCCCCTTCCTGAGTAAACCACAGCACAGACAAGGCTGTCCCCACACAGAGGGACTAACTAATGGTAAAGGCTGGAGGGGGTGTGGGAGGGGCCTTGGCATGTCCTTTGGACACGAGACAGCTGAGGGACAGAGATATGAACCCTGGGGCCCGCAGCCCCTCCCTCTCCCACCGTGGATGGGCAACAGGAAAACACAGGAGCCATTTGGTTTTCTAAGAAGATGCTGTATTTAACACTTCCCTCTCCCACCCCCCAGACCCTAGACATTTCCCTAGGGAGTAGGGCCCCTGTCAGGCCCTCCCGCTTAAGGCAGATGGTGTGGAGGTAACAAACATCAAACACAAGGCACGGCCAGGGGCAGAGGGGGTGGTGGGCAGGGCGTGGGAGGCTGGGCTGCCTCCTGTCATCAGGAGGTCTGTGTGGGCTGGCTTAGGCCTTCCACTGCAATGCCCAAGGATGGGAGTGGCCCCAGAAAGAAACCCGGCACCCCAGCCGGCCAACTGCAGCTCTCACCTACTCCCTACAACCCTTTCCTAAAGGGAGTAAGCCCGAGCAGGGACCATAAAAAGCCATAGTCCAGGGGGCAGTTATGGCAGCCATAAGCCACCACATATTACAGTCACGTGTTGCTTAACTACGGGGATACGTTCCGAGAAATGCATCGTTAGGTGATTTTGTTTGTGTGCGAACATCATAGTGTGCACTTACACAAACCTAGATGGGATAGCCTACTACACACCGAGGCCCTATGGTACTAATCTTATGCAACCACCATGGTACATGCGGTCTGCCGTTGACTGAAACGTCATGATGTGGTGCACGACTGTAATTGAAAAATCTTTGTCCTTTTTGATTTCTTAGAGGCAGGATTTTCTTCAACCTCCAGAAAGTTCTCAACAGGCTCCATTCTCCCATATGCCAAGTTTATGCTCTTTTTTTTTTCCTGCTTTATCTCCCCAAATCCCCCCTGGTACATAGTTGTATATCTTAGTTGCAGGTCCTTCTAGTTGTGTAAGTTTATGCTCTTGGTGAACGCAGGGCCCAGCAGGGAGAGTGGGCCACCACCTGGACCCTGCCACAGCATGGAGCTTGGGCTCAGCTGACTGGGCCCCTGGGCCCTGCTGCACCCCCATAAACCCTTCCTCACAGCAGGGGGCCCTGTGCTCACCTCACTAAACACACACTGAGTTCAAAGCCCAGTGTCCAACGCACCACTGGGGAACCCAGCAGCAGAGGCAGCACCAGCAGCAGTAGAAAAAACCCCGCCACAAAGGCACCTGGGGATTATTAGTGCAAGATAAGTGCGTGATCATCAAGGGATGGACAGGGTGGCCTAGACCACCAAGGCCAAGGGCTCTTTTCCCTGAAACAGCTTCACTTGTCACTTCCTCCTGGGCCCTGCTCCCTTCCACTTGGAGGAGATAGCTCAGGGCGATGCCCTCACCTCCCCAAACCTGTCACGCCTTCCTGCCCTGGTCCCTGCTTCAGGGTTCCGTTTCACCCACACCCCTTCCTCTTCTACTCAGGGCCGTGACAGGGGCTCTCCCTGCAGGAGGGAAGTCTGTGGGGAAGCCGGGCTGTGAGGATTTGAGCTTCCCATTCCCTTTTCATCCCCTCCGGCTGGACCCCCACCCCCTCCCGTCTAAGTCGAAGGATTACTTACATCTAACCCTCTTCCCTCTCGGCTTCAGTGTCCCCTGGGCCCCAGCTCACAGAGGGGCTGGTTCAGAAAAGGGCTTCTCCTCCCTGCCTTCTCCACCTCGTCCGAACAGTGGGGATGGCTGAGCCCACAGCCCACCAGTTCCCTGTCTCCCAAGCCTGCTGTGGCACCAGGAAGAGGATGCCCGTTCTGTGTTTCTGGTTGGTATGAAGTTGGCACTGCCTGGAGGGTAAGGCTAATGCCCTAACGGGGTGGCCAGCTGTCCGGCGGCCACCTGGGAGGGACGTGTGTCTCTGGAAGGCACGAGCCTAGAGGAGAGCTGAGGGCTGCTCCTCGGGTTATAAACCAGCTGCCGGGTCAAGAACCGAGGGACACACCTCCACGCAGGAGTGGGTCTGAGGTATGCAAGTGGGGACACTCCCTAAATGCACCACCCCGCCCCTCCCTCATAGTCGGTGCTGGGTCTGCACAGTTCCAGTTTTAGTTTTCTGTTAAAAAAATAAAAACCCTAAGAAAATATGTCCCATGGAAGAGTTCCCCGATCCTGGTCACTGCTCTCTGTGTGGAGCACTTGGGTGGACCCCGGATCGCACTCACTGAGCAGGATGGTATCGCTCAAACAGGTCTTTCCTTCCTTGACCTAATCGTGCTGCCCTCCCTGAGCTGCCCCATCTCCGTTGGCTGGGAGCAAGCAGCCAGCCGGGCCCTTGTTCCAAAGTCCTCCCTTCGAAGGACCAGAGGGTGGAGAGAGGGGCCTCGGCAGCCGTCTGTGTGAGGCGACAGCTCCTGGCGGAGTGGGGTTATTAGCTCTGAGGCCTCTCGGGGCCCAACCATGGCTTCTGCTCCCCTTCCCTCTCCTCCTCCAGCAGTGACAGGGGCACTCGGGGAGCAACCGCAAGTCAAGGAGCAGGAAGCCGTCGGTCCAGTGGGCCACGCCTAGGGATCATGGCATCTTCATCTGGCGGCGGTTCCACATGCCTCGCTTGGAATGGAAGTGATGGAAGAAATTCCTGAGGGAGAGACGTTCCACTTCCAGGCCTGCTTGGAGGATCCTGCATGGGGGATGGGCAGGATGAGCAGCAGAAGCACAAGAGGCACCTGGGAGAGGCCCAGGCCCCCGAGGGACCTGCCCTCCCACCTCTGCCTCCGACTGTCCCTGTCTTCCTCTGTCCACTCCCCTGGGGCAGGGGGGCAGGGTGTAGCATAGAGTGTGGGTTTGAATCCTAGCCCCACACTGTGTACATCACATTGTCTGTCAGAGCCTTGGTCTGCTGTCTCTACAAAAGGGACACTAACACTATCTATATGTGGAGGGTGGCGGGAGAGACTGGAGGTCAGTACTGGAAGTGCTCGGTGCGGGTCCTGGCACACACTGAGCGCCAACAAGTCCAGCCTCAGAGGACACTTCACAGCGCTTGAGGGAGGCAGAGGGCGAGAGCAGACCTTGTCCCCAGGCCTGCCCCTGTCCCTTTTCTACATGCACAGCTGGTTGGCAGTCCCTCTCACAGAGAGGCCTGTGCCTCCGGCAGGGTGGAACTAACTAGAATTTGGAGCAATTTCTTTCTCCCCGGGCCTCAGAGGAGGCAGGAGGGTTAAGAGCTACACTGGAGGTCTGCATCTTCCCAGCCCGGAATGAAGGTGAAAGGGGAAGGGAACCCCTAGACCAGCCTCGTGTCCATGTGGGATCTACTTTGATCTAGCTTCATGAGAGCCGGGTATCTAAGATAAGCTCCCTTAGCCTCCCTCCTTTGCGCCTTAAATTCTCTTAGTATTATCATCTTTCTTCCCTCTAGGGAAAAAACAGAAACAGATCTGTTTTTGAGCCTCTGAGACTCACCGGCTGTGAGATATGGGGCAGGTTATTAACGTCTCTTCCAGACTCAGTTTCCTCGTCTGCAACACGGAAACATTCATGCCTACCTCCCAGAGGTTCGGGAGGAATGAACGAGGCAGTGGCTGTAACTCATCCACCATGTCCGGGCACCCGGTGACCACATCTCTTCCTTGTCAAGGTCCCCACTCCCCCAGGGCTCCCAACCTTGCCTGGTTCCACCTCCTCTGGACACTGTTCCAGCAATTATTCCCCTTCTTGGATTCCCCCACCTTGCCCCTGCCCCTTCAGCTCAGATCTCAAGGAATCATCCTCTTTCCCTCCCTTTCTCTTGGCAGCACATTCTTGAAAGAGGAATCTTGTAGTAACATAGCCTCCACTTCCTCGCCACCCACGTCCATAACCCAGTGGGCTCGGCTTCCTCCCGTGCCCTTGCCAAGCCCACGGCTGGTCCCGCGTTCCTCCTCCTTCTCGGAGGCTTTTCTCGCCACTGACCATTTCCTCCTCCCTGGGCTTCCAGGGCCCCAAACCTCCTAGATGTCTGGCTGTCCTTTATTGGTCCACACTGCCTCTTTTGCTGGCCCCCCAATCTTTCCCGACCCTCTGCCTGCCTCTCTTATCCATTCCCACCATGGCAGCCGCCTCCCCTGGGGAACGTGGAGGCCAGGATGCCGTTGCTGCTCCCACAAAGCCTGGCTTGCGGCACGTCATCATCGTTTACACTGGTACAGCTCCACAGTGTCTGCTTGTCCCCTCACAGTTTACCAAGCACTTGAATTTCCACTCCAGCCCCAGGACACAGGAGGCAGTATCACCCCCACTAACAGATACAGACACTGAGTCTCAGGAAGGGAAGGAATCTGACTCCAGTAAGGGCCGAGCTTCCTGAGCCCAGGACTCCTTACCTGCAGATGGGGCATCTGCAGCCCTGGGTGGCTGCGCCCGACCTGATCTAGCCTGTCCTCTCCCCAGAGCACCTGAGGGATGGAACGCTCCAGTCACCTGTCCAGCAGCTCCCAGTCTTCCCCGCCCCAGCGGTCTCGGAACTCCCTGGTGTTCATGCCCCCAATCCTGTCCAGGTCTGACTTGTAGATGCCAAGCAGTCCAAATCCATTCACCTCCCAGTAGCCTGTGGACAGACAAGAAGCTCCAGATGAGATGAGCCAGGGCCAGGAGGAAGGAATGGAGAAGACTTCAGGCTGCCTCCTAGAGCCTTTTCTGGAAGACAGAGCCTGGGGTGGCCGAGGCCGAAATTCTCTCAGCTGAACTCCTCCCTTGCTTGTTCTGAGGGGAGCCCCCTGAGCTAAGGGTCGGGGTCCAGAGAAAGCAACAGTCCTACAGGGAGTGACCAAGGCTGATGACAGCCCTACAGTCAGACCTGACAACAGCAGCACTGAAGGTTTGTCCGTTCCCTCTCCAGAGGCAGGGGACCCCTTTCCATCTCTGTATCCTCACAGGGCAGTCTGGCAAACAGTGAACGTTACATGAATGAACGACGGGGAAGGTGGGGCGGGGGGTGTTCACTGCTGCTGTTCTGCTGTCAGCACAGCCCTCGGAGCACCTCCCTGGTGGACGGCCCAGGTGAGCAGAGAAGCAGGAGGGCGGTGGGGGACGGGGTGCAGCCATCGTAGACATGGCTGTTTCTAGCTCTCGGGTTTCTACCCTCCCTAGCCCAGGGCAGCACTCACCCTCAGGCCACTGGGGGGTGGCCCCGCAATGCAGCCTCATCACCATGGGGGCAAAGGCCATCTTGCCCTCCACGCAGTGCTTCCGGATGGTATCAACGACTCCAGCTGGGAAGTGGATATGGAGGTCACAGAGGAAGATGATGCTGTGCGGGTCCTGGGGACAGAT